TGAAGGGCTTTGGGGGAACTGGGGGGGGGGGTTGAAGTGTGGGTGTCGGCGCGAATAGGTTCCGGCCCTGTCCTGAGGGAAACCAGGCTGGAGTGAAATCTGGCCTTTAGTCTTTTCGCTGACCCACATTTCCTTTACTCAGGCTCCCACCTCTGGCTAGAAAGAGCCTACAAGTTATCTAGGGATCTGTGCGAACTGCCCCGTGACTGTTGGAGAAGATGCCCTACCTTGGCTCGGAGGACGTGGTGAAGGAACTGAAGAAGGCTCTGTGTAACCCCCACATTCAGGCTGACAGGCTGCGCTACCGGAATGTCATCCAGCGAGTGATTAGGTATCGCCTGCCTGTCAGCGTCCCAACTCCCACCTAGCCCCCAGTCCCCAGCCCACCTTGCATTTTCCAGTAGCTCTTCAGCCCGAAACAGTAAATGAACTTTCACACAGGTCTTATCCTGCTTCTCTGGAATGCTATCTTAGTCTCTCTTGTGGAATCTTTTAGTCATCTGAGTGGTTTCCTTTATGTCACGAGCTCGAACTATTACACACACTGCTGACTCCTGAATCTGTATTGTCTGGTACAGATCTCCATTTGTAGCTTCAGACTCACATATCCCACTTGGCATTTTCACTTCGATAGTTCATCAAAGGTATGGCAAAAATAGCACTAGTATTTTTCCCTACTCCCCAAACCTCTTCCCCGTATGTTTGTGTCTCGAAATGTCACCAGCCAGCCTACTAAGCAAGCATACCAGTCAACCTTGACACCTGATCCTTCACTTCTCATGTCAGATGGCATGAATAATTCTAAATAGCCTCTCTTTTTTTATTGGCACTTTTGTTGTTTTGGTTCATTACCAAAGCCAATTTACTAGTAGGTCACCTTGCCTCTGGAATTCATTTCAAATTTTTCCATTATAAATCTGAACATACAACTCGCTCTTACAGCTCTAGTGCAGACTTTAGTATGCACAAAAGATCTTTGTTTATTTATTTGTTTGGGTTTTTGCCACTCAGAAATTGATTCTGATTTCAGTAGGGTGAGATAGAACACAGGAATCTGTACCTTAACAAATACCAAAACAATTTGAGAAACAGTGATCTACAAAATGCTGTTGTAACTTCTTACCATTCACCTGAGGACCACACTGTTAATTCAGCTACCTGTAGATTCTCCAAAGAATGTTCTGTTCTTGCTCATGTCTACCTGCCTCATAGCATACATTATTAACTATCACATCTGCCTAGTAAGCTTCCTTATCGTTCAACGAAAGTATTACTACTATATGTGGTATCAGCAGCCCTTTTGGATCTCCTCTATATCTTATACGTTACTTCTGTTTAAATACTTATCTAGTGTATTGTAATTCATGGTGTTCTTCTCTAGCTCCTTAATTAAGCTTGAGTTCCTAGAGGTCTGGGACTGTATGTTCTTGGAGATTTTGTCCCGAGAGCATGTCCCTGGAATGTAAAATGTGAATTGCATTGGGTCCTACTGAGGAGTCAACAAGTTTTGAACAAGTAGAATAACAGCATTTATTGTGTGCTCTTGTTGTGAAGTACTGTGTCCTGTAATAAATAAGATAGACCCAGTTGCATTCTTCTGAGAGATCACAATCTACCTGGATAACTAGAGCATGTTATAAGCACAGTTCCTTCTGTTGTAGGTTGAAGATTTTTTACTTTATTTCTTCTTGCAATGTATTTTGGTTTCAGGCATATGACTCAGGGTTTGGACATGTCTTGTGTTTTCATGGAAATGGTGAAGGCCAGTGCCACTGTAGATATTGTTCAGAAGAAGTTGGTTTATCTGTACATGTGCACATATGCACCCCTGAAACCAGACCTAGCTCTCCTGGCCATCAATACACTGTGCAAAGACTGCTCGGACCCCAACCCAATGGTGCGAGGCCTGGCACTGCGAAGCATGTGTAGCCTCAGGTGAGCACTTTCTGCCCTGCCTGGTGTTCAGTGGCTGATGAATTCAGAAGGCCATGGGGAAGGTTTCTGCTGATGACAATTTATTTGAGCTCCTTAATATTAAGGAAGATTCTTTTGTGCCCTCAACTCAGGTTTTCAGCCATTACTTTGGCTTCATAAATTACATCATATTGTTTTGAGGGGTTTTTTTTGTGATTTTTATTTTAGTATATGTTTGTAATACATAATGATTACATTCATCGTGGGGAATTGGTATATGTGTATAAGATAGCTTAATTTCTTTTACATCCCTTTTTCATCCTCTCCCTCACGGTTTTATTAAAGAAAATCTTCTATTTTCACTCTTGATAAAATAGACCTTGGCTTTGGTTAAAGATTTTTAAACACTTATTACTATATCAGTTTTCACTGCCTGTGCAGTGTTATTTCACGTGAAAAGTGAAATGATGGCTTTCAGTAGAGGATTTTTCCAATTCCTTGTGATCTGAAAGGTGTGCATTCACACCTCTGCTAAACACTCTTGTTATATGGAGAGGAGCTTAATTTTTCAAAGCTAGTATTTCAGGATCTCACTGACTTCAGGATCTGTTGCCTAGGATGCCTGGTGTGCAGGAGTACATCCAACAGCCTGTTCTCAACGGTCTGCGGGATAAGGCTTCGTATGTCAGGAGGGTGGCCGTCCTTGGCTGTGCCAAAATGCATAACCTTCATGGAGACTCTGAAGTGGGTGAGTTTAGGGTAATCCACCATGGTCAGTACTTATTCATGCCTTCCTTATGTATCTGGCTTTGGAAAAGATGTAGCTTTGGTAGAAAATAATAATGTGGCTTCCCTTTGAATGTCTCTGAGTAGGATGCTAGACTTGATATTTTCTAAGAGAAGTTCTTTCTTTGGGGCCCAAGTAAGATTCTTTTCATTAGCTACTGAGAACAGCCTGGAGATGGTAGAGTTTTACTTTGTACTTTTTTCTTTTTAAATTTCTTTCCATTTTTTTGTTTGTAATTTCAGTTCCTTTATATTTGTCTCCCCCTTACTCTGTGTCTTGCACTTTGTTATCACCTTTATTACTTTTATAGCGGAGAACTTAGCTTTGCTTGCCCCTGGGCTATTTCTCTGACTCTATACCTGTAACTCTGAAGCTTTTCTTTATCTGAGATCTTTATTTTTCTTTATTTTTGTGTTCTTCTTTATAGATGGTGCTCTGGTAAATGAGTTATACAGTTTACTGCGGGACCAAGATCCAATTGTGGTTGTGAACTGCTTAAGGTCTCTAGAGGAAATTCTGAAACACGAAGGAGGTGTTGTCATCAATAAGCCCATCGCTCACCATCTCTTAAATCGGTTTGGATTTGCCTGAGTGCTCTTTTTATTATGATCTCTGTATTATGATCTCTCTGTGTCTTGTTGACATGTTGAATTAAGGAGTCTTGGATAGCTTGGGTAGGGTATAAAAGACAGTTAATCATAATTGTTAACTTCCTTACATTTTACTAAGAGAATGTCTTTTATTTGCTTTGAGTTTTTTTGTTTTGTTTTGTTTTTTTGGTATCAGGGATCAAACTAAGGACCTTGTGCTTGCCAGTCAGGCACTGTGCTGCTGAGCTAAACCCCTGGCAAGTTTCTTTTCTTTTGATATATAGAGATGGCAGAAACATCCTGCAGGGGTAGGCTGTTCACCTGCAGTCATTAGTTAAGCCATGTATGGTTTCTTAAAATGTAGAGAATCTGGATGCAGTTGTATACTGGTCATATGTAAACCTATCTTGGAATTTAAAGGCTAGTTTGTGTTGACTTTAAGTAGTATATAAAAAGAATGATTTGGTTATAGTGTTTTCTATTTTTAATAATTCTTGTCTATTATGAAGAACAACAGCTGCCTGGCACATGGCAGTAGCATGGAGATGGTTCAAATTTTGTTGGTAAAATAGTGCTTTTCTTTTCTTTCTTGGATAGGATGTCGAAACTGAACCAATGGGGTCAGGCTGAAGTGTTGAATTATCTGCTCCGCTACCAACCCCGCAGTGAGGAGGAACTATTTGATATCCTTAATCTGTTGGATAGTTTTCTCAAGAGTAGCAGCCCAGGTGTAGTGATAGGAGCCACCAAACTCTTTCTGATTTTGGCAAAAAAGTTCCCCCATGTACAAACTGATGTACTTGTGAGAGTCAAAGGACCTTTGCTTGCTGCCTGTTCTTCTGAGAGCAGGGAGCTCTGTTTTGTTGCCCTTTGTCATGTGCGCCAGATCTTACATAGTCTGCCGGGTCACTTTAGCAGCCACTACAAAAAGTTTTTTTGCTCCTACTGGGAACCCCACTATATCAAGCTACAGAAGGTGGAGGTACTGTGTGAGCTGGTGAACGATGAGAACGTGCAGCAGGTGCTTGAGGAGCTTCAAGGATACTGCACTGATGTGTCTGTTGACTTTGCACAGGCTGCCATCTTTGCCATTGGTATGTATCAACTACTTTTCCTTCCTGGGTGCCTAGATGATACAGCTGGAAAACTATAAGCAGAGGAACCATAGAAGGCAAAAGAAAAGGAATCTTGCTTCAGAGATAAAATATCATATAACAAAGATTGCGAGCAAGGGGGAAAGGAGATTTTTGTTGTTGTTTATCTTTTCCAAGATAGAGAATACAGGATAACTCAGACTATAGTACTTAAAATTTATATCGTCTTATGTTATCTTCTCTCTCAAATGCTGTCTTATACGTTATTTTACCATAGTCATGTGAGGCAGTCAGGAATAGTGGACAGATGTTATTAACTGCATTTTGGATTGTTTGTTTCGTTTTGTTTTTGAGACAAGGTCTCACTATATTGAATTTTCAACAATCCTCCTGCCTCAGCCCCGAGTGCTGGAATTACAGGCATGTGCCACTATACTTGGCTTAGTAACTTCATTTTGAAGACAAATGTAGGCACAAGAAAGGTTATTAAATTGTCAAAAGATCATATAGTTTCTGAATTGGTCCTAGAACCCAGATGTCCTGACTCAAAGTCCTATGTCAATTCACCAGCCACTTATTGAGCTTCTGTCATGGCCTTTATACAGTGTTGACTTTAGACCAACACAGAATACTTACAAAATCTTAGAGACTATTATACTACTCTGTCCGGAACTTGAAAGACTGGAGTGACTAAAAAATAAAGCAGCTGGGGAGTTGTTTTCAGGGCTTCAAGGAGGAAGAACACTTATGTTCGAAATGAAGAGTGATTATTAAGGGCAGAGAAGAGAGAGGAGAGAGGAGAAGAGAAATCCTTGGGGTTGAGAGACTACTGTCAAGTTTCCCTAGCAGGGATATTTCTGTATGGGTGTGCGATAGAAAGGGTGCCTCAGATCTGGCTTGTAAATACTTTGTTTTATGGGAAATTCTTTTTCTATGAATTTCAGTTTTCTAGTGTTCAACTTCAAAAAATAGATTTTTGTTAACCAAAATTCCCTTTACAGCAAGCTTAGATTCTTACTTTATCAAATAGGGAGTGGTTTTGTTTTGTTTTATTTTAGGTTTTTCTGATTGTCTTCGTCTTTGACTAATAGGAAGTGAATTTCAAATGAAGTGCTAGTATGTGACTTAACAGTTCTTTACCTTTCCTTCCTCTGTAGGTGGCATTGCCAGGACTTACACAGATCAATGCGTACAGATTCTCACTGAGTTGCTAGGGCTCCGACAAGAGCATATTACCACGGGTAATGGATATCTTTCTAGGATTTTCGTTGTTGTTAGATGCCTGGCCTATAGTGTAGTTGCTCACAAATTTTTTGTTCAGTGAATAATATAGAGGTTTCTTTGCATTATCATCTGATGCTTCCAGAGAAATATAAGATACATAGATATAATAGGATAAAGTCTTCAGGCTCTCATGAGTTGATGGGCTATACTATAGATAACAAAGGTACAGGATGACTGTACTTGCTATTTCCCCATCTTTATGCCCCTGCTTTTCTTTCTTTTTTTTTTTTTCTCTTTGTGACAGTTTATTTAGGATTGATTCTGGATCTACAACTTGGGTGAGGGAAGAACAGTCCCTACAATTCACTGTTAGTTTCATGCAGTTGACACCCTTTAAATTGAATTTTGTACCTGAGACACCTAAGTTACCTCGATACATTCCCATTCCTGGTAGCTCATTTATACTGTCTTCTGAGTATCATTCAAGAGCAACACTATCCTATATTGCATATAGCTTTGTATTTTACAAAGTACTTTTTCATATATTGTTAGCTCATTTATGTCCATGTCAATCTGGTAATAGTTAACATTCATGAAAAAAATTCCTACACATCCCAAACATTTCTCAGGTAATCAGTGACCTCTCACCAAAGCCTGTTGTATGGAAATCTAGTCTGAATGCATGATTCTTCTTAAGATTCTTTCCTGCATGGAGGCTCTAATCCTGTACTCTTGTATCTTGGGCTGCATTGTAGTGGTGGTGCAGACTTTCCGAGACCTGGTTTGGTTGTGTCCTCAGTGTACTGAAGCTGTGTGTCAGGCCCTGCCCGGCTGTGAGGAGAACATTCAAGACAGTGAGGTAGAATATAAATCTCTTGTACTTCCAGGCACAGAGGGAATGCTTAGGACCTGGCCTTCTGAAATAGACTAATTTTCCTTTGTGTCTTGTGCCTGAAGCGGAGACTTAATGATTGATTGCACCTTGGATTCTCTTTTGAATGTAAATGGCATGTAAATTATAAAAACAGGATGTATGTGTGGTTTTTATGTTAAATTATTTGATGCCATTGGCCTACTAAACTATTTTGAGTCAGAGATGAGATCATGGAGTTTTCAGTTATAATGAGAATTGTTTGTGCAAGTTTTTTAAAAATTTGGGTTTCATCTAAAATCTGCTCAATTAAATATTAAGGTATCAACTTAACATTTTTAAAACACCTCACAGATGACTTCAATGTATAGTCTAGAATAATAACTGCGTTCATGAAAGGTTTAGAGAAATTCATTCAGTAGCTTCTGCTGAAAAATTAAACCCCAAATTGTGCCAGAGGCCCCAAAGTTGAAAAGGCTTATATATTGCTTACTTAGCATAAGTTATGAATGTTTTGAGTTTCCTCTTGAGCATTAGAACTTCACTCCCAGTTGTTGTAGACAGTGTTATTGGGAGGGGGTAGCACAATGCCAGTTGAAATAAATAAAAGATTGTATCTTTCCTGGTCCAGAGATTTAGCTCAGTGATTCTGCTGCCTGCCTTGCAAGCACAAGGTCCTGAGTTCGATACCCAGTACCCAGTACCAAAAAAAAAAAAAAAGAAAAGAAAGAAAGAAAAAGGGATTATATCTTTCCTGCTGGCACTAGGGGCAAAGCAAGACCAGTTCTTTTTTACTGTCTCCTATTTTGGGCAGCCAAGGTTTGAGCACCTGTTTCTGTTCTTCCATTCCTAGGGGAAACAGGCACTTATTTGGCTACTTGGAATCCATGGAGAAAGAATTCCCAATGCTCCTTATGTTTTAGAGGACTTTGTAGAAAATGTGAAGTCAGAAACGTTTCCTGCTGTTAAGATGGAGCTCCTCACTGCCCTGCTGCGCCTGTTCCTCTCACGCCCTGCTGAGTGCCAAGACATGCTGGGGCGCCTGTTATATTACTGCATAGGTAGGTTTTTCAGAAGGAAGTAGCGCTTGCCATACCCGTGGTACAGTTTCTCACAGCCTTCATTAGTTGGGGAATCGTGTGTGAGATCTGAGAAGAAAATGTTAATACTTGCTAGATCTCCTCTCTCCTTCATTCTTTTTTCCTCCTATGGTTAGCACAAGGTAGGAGGAGAGTGTTTTTGTTTTAATTAACTCAGTCTGTTTTATCACAGAGGAAGAAAAGGATATGGCTGTACGGGACCGAGGTCTCTTCTATTACCGCCTCCTTTTACTTGGCATTGATGAAGTTAAGCGGATCCTGTGCAGTCCTAAATCAGATCCTTCTCTCAGACTTTTGGAGGATCAACCGGAAAGACCTGTGAATAGCTGGGCTTCAGACTTTAATACGCTGGTGCCAGTGTATGGCAAAGCCCATTGGGCAACTATATTTAAATGCCAGAGAACAGAGCATTGTGGCCCAGAGCTTCCTCATACTGCATCCTTTGTTCCATCAGGTAAAAACAGTTTTTATCTTGCACCTTGTCATGATAAAACTTTATCTTTTTTTTTTTTTGGTACCGGGGATTGAACTTGGGCCCATGTACTTATGAGGTAGGTGGCAGAATCACTGAGCTAAATCCCCAGCCCAAATCTTTATCTTTTGAAGTGAGTGGTAGGAAATAGAGTACCCTTTCTAAAACAAATCTCAACTGTTAGCTGAATTTGAAGGCTTTATGAACCAGAAAGAAGTTCATCATTGGTTATTTAAGCTATTTATCCAAAGACAGAAGTCACATTGTATAAAATAAAATTTATTTTTAAAAAAAGAAGCTACACATTAAAAAAAAAGAAACCACAGTTTATACTCTTAGGAATGTAAATTAAAAATATAACTCATACAGGTTAAGAGCATCTCTTATGCAAGCTCTCTGACTCTTTTAGGACACCTGATTTCTGAAGAGAACAAGGAGAGAGTACAAGAACTCCCTGATACTGAAGCCCTCATGCTAATCCCCAATTGCCAGCTTACTGCTGAATATTTTGAGAAAACCTGGCGTAGCCTCCAAGTTGTTCATCAGCAGGTGTTGCCTTGGCAGGGAGAAATTCATCCTGACACCCTCCAGATGGCTCTACAAGTAGTGAACATTCAGACCATTGCAATAAGCAGGGTTGGGGCTCAGCCATGGAAAGCCTACCTCAGTGCTCAGGATGCTACTGGTTGTCTGTTCCTAACAGAGCTGCTGTTGGAGCCTGAGAACTCAAAAATGCAGATCTCTGTGAAACAAAGTGAGACAAGGACTGAGATACTGAGCAGTTTCATTTCTGTATTAGAAACTGTGATTGGAACAATTGGAGACATGAAGTCGTAACAGATTCTTACTGCTTTCCCTGAGTGATATGAATAGTTATCAGAATTCCTTAGTTTTTCTTATTTGAACTGCTTATAAGTCCAGATAATACCACTTGCAAAGGAGAATGAGAAATCTGGGAATCAGGATTCTTGTGTTTTTGTCCAAAGATCACTAACTTACTCCCTTTGTGCCATTTGTGACTGACGCTATTTTGCAATGGTGATGTTTGCAAGGGGTGAGGATGAGGTTGAAGACAGGATTGGGATTTTTTTCTAATCCATTTTAGGGGTACTGTTACTTACTAAAGATGTCTGCCATTTGTGAAAATTGATGGGGGCCATCTTTTCCTTTCTATATGAAGCAGTAACTGACTATTTTCATATTTTTAATCATGCTTTTTAGACCATGGTTCACAGTGGGATCTAAATACCTCTAGTATGGCATCTAAAGTACGTCTTCAGTCTCATATCTAACCACTTCCCAAACACACTCTCTTCTGATAAAAGCAAACCACTTACAGTTCTCTCACACCTACCCCTTAACACCTGTTTTTACTTTTTTTTTTTTTTTTTTTT